TTGAAAGAGAGAGAGAGAGGGAAAGAGAGAGAGAGTGCATGCTAGTGGGGGAGGGGCAGAGAGAGAGGGAAACAGAGGATCCAAAGCAGGCTGTTTGCTGACAGCAGAAAGCCCAATGCAGGACTAGAACTCATGAACCTCAAGACTATGACCTGAGCCTAAGCCAGACGCTTAACTGACTGAGTCACCCAGGCACCTGATGAAATTTCTTACACTAAAAAGTTTTTTATGTTACCAAGAGAGAGGTTAACTATCTTTCTCCAGAAGTGTTTAAGACAAGGTACATTACTTAGTAGATTGGGATTGGATTATGTGTTTGCCCAAGAACATTTCTTTTTCTTTTTGTAAGTAATCTCTACACCCAACATTGGGCTTGAACTCAAGACCCTGAGATCAAGAGTGGCACACGCCACTGACTGAGCTGGCTAGGCACCCCAAGAACATTTCTAATCCTATGAAGAATGTTTTATACATTCCTCAAGATAAAATAACTCTCTCTCCCTTCTCTCTGTAGATCTAATTCTTATTTAACCTTCAAGACCATTTAAAAATCTTATCTCTTCTTTCAAATTCATAGTGATCCTCTGAATTCAAGCTACTTTCTAACCATGACACTCAGCACTTCTTAGATTTTGCCATGTAAGTGACTTCTTTATTTACATATATGTATTTTTGGTTTGTACAACTAGACTGCAAGCTCCATGATGGTGGGAACCATGTGCTATATTTCTTCCAACACTTTGTAATATACTTCCAACACTTTGTAACACTTTGTAATTATTTGATTAACTAAGCTTGATTAATTTGTCCATCCTTTAGGGTCCAGATCCCTTCTGGTAGGAAAAGTTTTGCAGTTGCCTTGCCTAATCTCCTCTGACTCTAACTACACTGTCTTTCGGTAAACATGTATCAAGTCCCTATGCTAAACTGTGTGGATAAATAAGAAGAGGGAGCTATGTAACTTACCCTCAAAGAGCTTACAGTACAGAAGAGGGAGAGAGACAAAGACACAGTTTACTGTTGTAATAAGTATTAAAATAACAAATAGAGCACACGATACATTATAAATACGTTCTGAAAGATCGGTGCTAAATGTTCCATTGTGCTAAGCAACCATGAAGTTAAAATTTCCCCACTCTTTAAACCTCCCAAATTTTTCAGACTGCCCAAATCTTTGGTTACTTACCCTTGCTGCACAGGCTGTAACTGCAAGATCACTTGGGTTTTAGTGTCTTCAGGGTTCTCCCCTTCATTTCCTTCAGTGGGAACCACAACCACATCCCCCACTGGAACACTTACTTCTGCATTAGCCATCTTTCACATGAAGTCAGATAGCTGGGCTGTTGTCAGAAACAAGAAGCATCAGTGACTGTCTGGTTTTGAAAAGATAGCAACCCTAGGAAAGGAACATCAGGATAATTAAGACTACCCATTCTAAGATCACGGTCCTCTGAAAAGGATGGGAACTGTGAGAAGGGGCTGACAGGCTCTGATCTTTCCAGACATGCTTTCGTACTCACTTACTGATTTAGGTTTTCTTAGTATATGTGATTCACCCAGTGCTGTGCTGGAGCCTGCTCCTGAGAACCAATTGTGCACATCTCTTCCCAAATCTGAGTTTAGTGACAGCAAGTTGGTAGCTTGAAATCAGTGATGCTGGGAGTACATACACCACAGAAACTGGCAAGCACTACAAATCAGGGTTTTGTTTTTTTTTTTCTGGAGAACTGATTTATAGCACACCACTAGTTCCAACCCCATCAGTAAACTCCTAGAGAGTAAGAATCACCTCTTTTCTTTGCAACCAGCCATTATGCTTCACCAAGCACTCTGTACTTTGTGAGCACTTCATAAGTATCTGCTAACTGAAACTGTACAGGAAGAAAAATGATTTGCATTGTGTGGTTGTTTAATAAATACTGAATCCAACTGTATGACCTCTAGAAGTTTCTTACTACCTCTTTGCCTCAGACTGAATGGAGAGATGATCTTGCCTGACATCTCCCTTGCAGACTTGTTGGGGAAACCAGTGTCCAACACCATGTGCTCCTCGACTCTAACATAACTCAAAGCATCATCCCCATTTTTTTTAAGTTTATTTATTTTTGAGATAGAGAAAGTAGGGGAGGGGCAGAGAGGAAGAGAGAAAGAATCTTAAACAGGCTCCTCAACGTCAGCACGATGTGGAGCTCAATCTCACAAACTGTGAGATCATGACCTGTGCAGACCATGACCTGAGCCAAAAATCAAGGGACAGCCGCTTAACCGACCGAGCCACCCAGGTGTCCCAGCATCATCCCAATTTTAACGAAAACTCAGAGGGCCCCAGAATATTTTGCAGTAGTTAGTCCTCACAGTTGCAAAGAAGGGAGTCACTAAAAAGAGTACAGGTTAAGAGCACTGTGTTTACTTTCACGTGTAGGGACACGGTGGACACACATTTGAATATGTGACTGATAATCAGACAACTGAATCCACATCGTGGCTCATATTGCCTATAATATGCATACGTAAGCACAGCAAGCAAAGTCTCCCTCATTTGGCCCCAAAATATTTTTCCCGTTTTATCTGCAACAGTAATTCCCTGAGAATCTGAAGTGCCAGCCAACCCAGCCTCTGCCCGTGCTCTGAACAGACAATATGTACCTTCAGGTTTTTAGACCTTTGTTATTCCTTAAGCCCAAACTCTCTTCTCCCTCATCTCAGTCTCCCTTCAAGGCCCAGTTCAAAGCCCACTCCTCCACAGAGGCCCTGCCAAGCCATTTTCTTTTCTACAGTCCCCCAACACTTCACATGTAGCTTTCCTCTAGTGGTTATCACACTGTGCTCTGTATTGTCGTTAATTGAACAGACCTCTATCTCCATAACTGCACTATACTCTCTATGAGGGCAGGTGCTGCTTCTCTTAAAAAGCTGGTCTCCACAGCCCTGATCATCATGGCACTGACATGTTGGTTCAATCAATTTTTGTTTGTATATAATCTAGTTAAAATTGCTCGTAGCAGACTTACGCTTCTGCCTTTTGTGATTCTCACATTCAAACCTCTTTCCTGAATTCTCTACCACCTGTACCCAAAAGCCTCTTATAATTTATCTTGTAAGCACCTTAAACTGAACTCACGTTCTCTCACAAACCTGCTCGTTTCCCTCCTCAGTAAATGGCACTATCCTCCACCCATTTTCTCAAGCCAGAAACTAAGGAGTTACTTTTCATTCTTCTCTTTATAAAATCTAATCAACTACCAAATCCTATCCATTCTATCATCTATATTTCTCTTTTAACCATCCCCCATTCTCCATCTGTGCTGCCACCATATTCTGAGCCACACACTACCACTTGATTTTTTCCAGCTGCTTCGCATCAGTATCCTTATCTCTGATCTTGCTCTCCACTCCACGATCTACAGAGGAGACAAAGTGATCTTACTGAAGGCCACAAGCCATTTCCCCATTTCAGAATCCTTCAGAGGATTCCCTTTGCTATTAAAGTGCAAGCATCTTAACAGTGCTTATAGAATCCTCCAAATCTGTCCCATCTACGCTGCTAACCTCATTTCTCATAGTTCTTCCTATCACATTGTGGTCTCCTGTCATTGAATTTTTTTTTTTAATGTTTATTTGTTTTTGAGAGAGAGAGAGAGACAGAGTGCAAGTGGGGGAGAGGAAGACACAGAATCCAAAGCAGGCTCCAGGCTCTGAGCTGTTTGCTAGCACAGAGCCCGACGCAGGGCTCGAACCCATGAACTGCAAGATCATGACCTGGGCCGAAGTTGAACACTCAACTGACTGAGCAGATGCCCCCCCACACACACTTTTTTTTTTTCAATTTCTCAAACATGCCATATTTCCTCACCTGAGCCTTCACGCTTGTTTCCTCTACCTAGAATTCTCTTTTCCTTCCTTTTTGGCTAGTCACTGCTAAACTTTTATAACTTATTTAAAACATTACTTCCTGGGGCACCCGGCTAGCTCAGTTGCTAGAACAAGAGACTCCGGATGTCAGAATCATGAGTTCAAGCCCCACCTTGAGTTTACTTTAAATAAATAAATAACTTCCTTAGGGAGGCCTGTGACTTCCTTGACTAGATGTGAGATTGTGTTCTTAGTACCTACAGCACCCCTGTCATAACCATCATCCCACTTTGTCAGCCTCTCCCCACCAGACTATATCCTGGGAGAGCAAGGATTGCCTTTCTTTTTCAACGGCTCCCCTACCCTTAGCTCAGTACCCATGACACAGGAGTACAATAACCAGTTTTCAAATATCAGACTACTATTTACAAAACTGTCTACTTTGGATATGAAAAGGGAGAGTACCTGCTCTTCAGGAACTAAACAAGGGAAAGAGATGCATACTAGAGAAAAAAATTAATTGTAAGATATTACAGTACACTATCTGAACTTCTACAATTTAAAGGTTTAAAACTAGGGATAAAAAACAGAATCAATGAGGGGCACCTGGGTGGCTCAGTTGGTTAGGCGCCCCACTTCGGCTCAGGTCATGATCTTGCAGTTCGTGGGTTCGAGTCCCGCATCAGGTTCTGTGCCGACAGCTCAGAGCCTGGAGCCTGTTTCAGATTCTCTATCTCCCTCTCTCTTTGCCTCTCCCCTGCTCACACTCTGTCTCTCTCTGTCTCAAAAATAAATAAACATTAAAAAAACTGTTTTAAAACAAAATCAATGGACTGGTTCAGCTGGCTGCCAACAGCAGAATCAAAACAATTAGGACCTTAGAGTCTAGAAAAAGACAAAAAGGGATACAATGAGGCATAACAAATGCTATCAAATCCTACAATAATCGAACCAATAGGTATCTTCAAATTTTGAACCATTAAAATGTAGCTTGGGAGTGCCTGGGTAGCTCAGTCAGTTGAACATCCGACTCTTGATTTTGACTCAGGTCATGATCCCAGGGTCTTGGGATCAAGCTTGGAGCTTGATCTGCAACAGCACAGAGCCTCCTTAAGATTCTCTGTCTCCCTCTAAATAAGTAAATAAATAAATAAATAAATAAATAAATAAAGCTTGAATTAAAATAATCACAGCTAACATTTGTTGGACATTTATTGTCAAGCACTATTCTGTTATTACATACTTAATGAATTTAAAAGATATAATACTTTAGCATGTAACATACTTGTGAAATTATTATTCTAAAACAGTGTTTTAGGGGTGCCTGGGTGGCTCAGTCAGTTGACCGTCCGACTTCAGCTCAGGTCATAGTCTCGCAGTTTGTGGGTTCAAGCCCCGCGTCGGGCTCTGTGCTAACAAACAGCTCAGAGACTGGAGCCTGTTTCGGATTCTGTGTCTCCCTCTCTCTCTCTCCCCCTCCCCTGCTCATGCTCTGCCTCTCTCTGTCTCTCAAAAATAAATAAATATTAAAAAAAAAAATTAAAACAGTGGTTTAAAATTTTTTAAGTAACTTAGGTAAATAAATGGGTTACAGGAGGAGAATTAGAAGGATGCTTCTAGTTTTAACCTTCTACCCTAAGGTTGAGTCCTCTCTACAATACTCTGAATAAGTGGTTAACTACTTGATTAATACTTTCCTCAACAGGAACTCATATTTTACTCCTTAGCCCTCCTACTCCTTAGAACCCAAGAGGAATGTTCTCTAACCTTCTGAGTTTATCTGAGAAGGTAATTACAATCATCCACAATATGTTTCTCAGTGTCAGTAAGAGACACAGGTCTGATCCAACATGGCAACTCTTACATTCTTTAGAGAAGCAAGTTTAGGTTGAATATATCTCATTACCCTAAATACCACATTCTTAACAAGTAACCTGAAACCAGACTCTACAGACTACACTGGCTAACTGAAAGGTCATCTCTTTGAGGTGAGTATGATCTGAAAAGTGGCTCTTGTTTATAGCAACAAAAACTCCTGAGGCGAGATGACTGAGCTGCTCCTTTGGGTATTTCATGGAAGGGGCCTTAGAGTATTCACTGTGTAATCACACAACACTGTGATTCTAGGGGAACACATATAAAGGAAAGATGTCACACCCACATGAAAAAAAATTATTTTGTAGTTCTTTTCAAAGACAAAAAAGACACCTTGATCAAGAGTAAGCACATGACCATTGACATAACTATTGGAAAACTAAACAAATGACATCTGACCTACTCGAGATTAAATTCATTTTTTGTGTTCTGAAAACAAAGGTCTTTTTTTTTTTTTTTTTTAAGTAATCTCTATACCCAACATAGGGCTCAACCTCATGACCCCGAGACCAAGAGCTCCACGCTCCATCGACTAAGCCAGCCAGGCACCCCTGAAAACTAACGTTTAAAACGTGGCAAAATCATGA